AGGAAACTCAAATCCTTTGGCCACCTAATGAGAAGGAAGAAGGACTCCCTGGAGAAGAGCCTCATGGTGGAGGGCAAAAGAAAGGGACAGCAGAGAATGTGGTGGCTGGATGGAGTCACCAAAGCAATCGGCGTGAGCTTCAATGGACTCCAGAGGGTGGTAGAGGACAGGAAGGCCTGGAGGAACATTGTCCATGGGGTCGTGATGAGTCGTATGCAACTAATGAAAAGTCTAATGAAAAGAAAGACTAGGTGTGACATGATAGTCTTTCAATATTTGAGCCATAAGGAACAATAGGGTTAATCTATTCGCCAAAGCCCCTTGAAGGCAGGACAAGAAGCAATGGATGGAAACTAATCAAGGAGAGAAGCAACCTGGAATTAAGAAGAAATTTCCTAACAATGAGAACCATATCAGTGGAACAGCTTGCTTTCAGAAGTTGTGGGTGCTCCATTGCTGGAGGCTTTGAAGAAGAAACGAGAGCCACTTTGTCTGGGATGTCATAGGGTCTTCTGCTTGAACAGGGTTGGACTAGAAGACCTCCAAGGTCCCTTCCAACTCTGTTACTCTGTTATTCCTTTTATTAAGAATGGCAAACTACCTTCCTCTTGTTGCCAAGGAAACACCACGGACATGAAGAAATCTTTTATGTTTTATATAAAGAAGCCGAAAGAGAATGATAAATTTATCTTCTCGTTCCAAGTTTTTATCCGCCATCCTTTTTACATTTGTCCTTTCCAGAAATAGAGGCTTCCCCCCGAGACTGTCCTATCTTAAAAAATAGTGCTGAGAAATGAATGAGCAAATGAAAGCAAAGGAATCTTTACATGCTGCTTTTTCTTCTCCTCCTCCTCCTCCTCCTCCTTCTCATACTTCATTGGATGCTGGCTATCATGTTGATGTATATGAAATGCTATCCAAAAAATGTTTATACATGTATATTAAATGCTATCCAAAATGTTTTTGGGGAAAGAGGAGTAAGAGCTGAAAAACATACAGAGGAAGACTCCCAAACCGAGGAGGAGATGAAATCACACTTAATCTGGGAAATATGTATAAAGAGTACTTATAAGCAGCATCCTGAATAATGGGAAGCAAGCTTCCTATAATCTCCAATGTCCTCACCACTCTCTGTAGGGACTTTCTATCTCAGGCACTGCTGCCACCAAACCAAATAGGGATGTGGTTTGTTAAAACGCTCTCTGCCGTGCCTCTGTAGAAAGTGGCCAGGACAGAAGGAGAAAGATATGCTCTCCTCATAGGATGCAGATGCTGGCTTGCATGCTTCTCACTAAGGATGACATGTGGAGAGACTAGTTCAGATTGTTAATTATCTGCACCCCCAGATACTTAATATGTATCTATTATTAGTATCTAATATTAACTCCGATAAGCAAAGGCATTTTTAGCCCTTGCCACTGTCTAATCAGGATGCTCAAGGCCAGATCTAATTTCATGGACACTTGGATCTTTCAGGGCAGCCTGACTCCTTCTCAACCATGCTGAAGATGCCCTATCAAGGTTCTGCACATTTGAGAAACCCTCCAGAATACTCACAATAATTTCCGGCTCCTGCGGTTTGGGGAGGACCACTTTCTTACACTTTTTCTTCTTCTGCTTGTGATGCTTGACAATGGCCGCCAAGTCTTCCAGGGTGTCTATCTTCAACCTGGCATTATTGAGGGCCTCAAGCTGGAAAAGATATTGGTGGCATCAACGTGAGGAATAATAAGCTCACTAAAGTCGGGATGCTAGATCTGAGCTGCAGATATCTAGAAGGGCCCCTAGAGGGAAGGAATCAGCATTCTGGGCCTCTTTGCTGCCTCAGTCAGAGTATGGTAACCTTTTATAAGGCTTCCAGGGCCCAAGTAATTCCTCAACTGGGACAATCCAAAACATGCTTCCTACAAAGATTGCACCCCCTACTCTAGAAGCTTAATTAGAGTCCGCATGATGACACTCTTTCATCTAATAGCAATATTACTTAGACTTATAAACAGGGGTGGGATTCAGCCGGTTCGCACCACTTCAGACGAACCGGATATTAATTTTGCATCCAGTTCGACGAACTGGTTGTTGCAAGGACTGGCTCCCCTCCCCTCTCAGGAGTCTCCACATGGCCCCTTCATCATGCCAGGTAAGTGCAGGGCCCATGTGGAGGTTCTGGGAGGGCAAAAAACAGGCTTCCCGGATGTCTGGAAATGGGCCGGTTTCCGGCCTTCGGTGAGCCTCCGAAACCTGGGGAAGACCATTTCCCCCCTCCTGGAGGCTCAAAGAAAGCCTCTGGAGGCTGGGGAGGGTGAAAACTCCCCCTCACCGCCATGGTACAGGAGGCTGTGCAGGCCATGCCCACCATGGTCACACCCATTAGGTGTTCTGAACTAAGCTTCCCCAGCAGCATAAAGCCAAGTCCTCATCCCGATAAACCCCTTTTATTTACTTGACAGTGAATTCCTCTCCAGAAAAATCTTTTCTCTCCCACAGTCTTTCAAGATAGTTCACAATGACCGATCTTGTTCAAGCTTGGCCAGGTCGATATCTTTCAGACTTGGCAAGAATGCAGGAATGAACACATTGTCTCTTGCAAACTCCACTCCCATTTCGCTCCTCTTTTATTCCCTATCAGAGGGGTCATCCACCATCCACCTGTGGCTTTACTCCCAAGTTGACCCTTGTTCCCTGGCTGCTCCTTTCCTCTGGCAGCTCTGCGCATGCGCACACTGGGAGCAGGCTCCAGCTGTTCTTCTGCCTCACTGATCTCCAACTCCAAAGGGAACTGATAACTGGCATACGGCCCTGATCCCCTCTCTGCCTCTGACACAGAACCCTCCTCAGAGCCTTCCCCAGACTCCAGGACTGGCCCATGTTTCTCTCCAACCTCCTCACTGTCTGAATCTGCTGCCACCTCCGTTGGGCGCTGGTGGGCCACAACAAAATGACTCACCTTCTTCTTCTTCTCGTCTTCCGCTTTCTGCTTCTCTCTTTCCACCGATTCCCACCAGGGCGCAGCCGGACCAGAGCGCCAACGTTCAGGCTCCCAGGCTGTCCCTCTCGTGCGTGCTGCAAAACAGCCGACTTTCTCTTCAGGCCGTTCCTCACTTACCTACAGAAGAAGACCAGAGAGGAAAACAGTCAGAAAGAAGGAGGCTGTGGGTCGTGCGAGGCCTTACAAAGCATTTTAACAACCCGAATGGGGAGCTGTTAGGAGCAGGGTGGATTTGATTTAAATCAAGTTTAAATCAACCATGGTTTTTTCCTGGTGATTTAAATCATGATTTAAATCAACCATGATTTTTTTCCTAGTGATTTAAATCGTGATTTAAATCAACCATGATTTTTTCCTAGTGATTTAAATCGTGATTTAAATCAACCATGACTTTTTCCTAGTGATTTAAGTCGTGATTTAAATCACTAGTAAAAAGGTTTGATTTAAATCAACTTGATTTAAATCCTAATTTTTAAAAAGCAACTGTCATCTCTGTCCCGCAGCGGCTCCTCCTACGACCTGCTGTTGACTCACCGAAAGTCCCGATATTGCAGAATACACAGCCTCATGCTACATAACTGAGCTCCATTTCATGCTGAATAAACTACATTATTAATGTATCTTAAATAGAAAACTATCTTTACTCCAAAAGCATTTTATTAAAATAAATTTGATAACAATAAAAAAATCTGACTTAAATAAAAAATATCCGATTTTTACTTATTTATTTTTTTAAAAATCATCGATTTTTATCCACCTGGATAAATTGGAGTGAACTGAAGGTATCCAGAAGTTTGCCAAAATTAAAAACAAAACATTGACAGCCTTAATAAAGGTGATGATTTGTTTCCCCAAATAGAGGACATGGGAGCCCAGCCAGGAAATAGAAATAGAAAGCAGCAGTTGGAAAGGAGGGGTGAGGGGGGGAGAATTGGCATGAACTTCTTGTGGAAAAGACAGGTTGCATTTTTTAGCAGATGCCCTCTTGTTGGTATTCTACTTTTGGCCACCTAATTAATTCATCAGCCCTAGCAGGAGGCCCATCATGTTAAAATAATGTTTTGGCAATAAAATTGGCTTAGTTCTGGAGCTAATGAGTGTTGATTCATTCTTTCAGCAATTCTTTTAATATTGCTTTCTTGGTCGGTCGTTGTAGTTACTTCTTGGTTACTTGTATAGGAAATTAGTACCCACCCCTTTCCTAGAAAAATGAAATATTTTAGGAAATATTTTAAAAAGGCAGAATATTATATTTTCCTGGATGAGAAAAGGAGAAACATGTTTTAAAGACAAAGCAGCTTCCTCCCCACCCTTTGTCAATGGGCCATTAAGGCCTGAGCCAGTCTAGTCTACATAACAAAGATCTACCTCCTTCAGGCAGAACCATAATAGGGATCCCAAAGCCCTTTCATTACATCATCACCCAGCAAGAGTCAACCAAGCTTGGGACTCCAAAGACAGACAGCCTACAAAGTTACTAAGACCCCCACTCCCTGGGAGTCTGACAGCCAATGGGATACATTTCTTGTACAGGAATCTTTTCCCTTTTTTCTTTCAAAATCTTCAAGGCATGTGAGCCTTCCCACGCCCCCAAGGATGTCAAACCACGTGGTCCTGTCCACCATTAAAAACCGTCTTTCCCAAGAGCCGCCATATTTTCAGTGTCTTTCTCCCCACTTGGAACCGAACCCAGATGGGACACTTCTTCCAACAAAAGAAAGAAATGAATACGGAAATGGAAATTATATCTATATATTTATATCTATATCTATATCTATATCTATATCTATATCTATATCTATATCTATATCTATATCATCTATATCTATATCATCTATATCTATATCTAATCTATATCTATATCTATCTATCACCTCTCTCTCTCTTTATCTATCTATCTATCTATCTATCTATCTATCTATCTATCTATCTATCTATCTATCTATCTAT